CCTGTCACGGTGGGAGGAGGGCGGGGATACAGGGGGGGGGGTAGAGGAACATACGCCTGTTAATTGAATATTTGAATGAACGAAAGGCGGTGAACGTTTTATTTTCTCACCTGATGATAGGCATGATGATGTGCGAGTGTTAGTCACCTTGGACACGAAGTAAGTCACTGGCCAGCGAAAGGCAATAATAGTAGAAAAAAAAGAGACAAATCTTATGAAAGAAACGGAGATGCCGGTTAGGGTTTATTTTTTCAGGGTTATTTCAATCGAAAGGTTCAACGTTGAGGTATGCGTGGGTTCCTATGTCTCGGCAGTAGGGAAGACTATGTTCGGGTTGGCATAGGAAAGGAACTGAAGATGGAAATTAAAGGATGAAAAAGTGATTGTCCACAACTGCATCTCGGAGCGTTTCTGGAAACTAGTTTTGCGTCACAGTTAAACTTCTCCCGCGAGTGGTAACTGTCCAGTGTTTGGCCTTATTGTTTTCGGTTGACTCCCCGCTAAAACTCTAAGTGACAAATCTTACCGTATAAGTAATTAATTCCATTACTGAACTACGTCCGTGTGTAGCTGACTCTGTGAATAGGCCTATGTTAAGAATCTAGCGGTGTTGACTTTACATTGCTGGTTGCGTTGTTTTTTTTTTCTAGATATGAATATAAACTTTCGGTGAAGCGATCAATCAGTCACACAAAGAAATGAATGCTTGGTAAGAAAGTACCCAAAGAATGCGGCAGACAACTGGCCCGAGAGGCATTTAGCATGCACGTCACGTACGCTGCCCTTGACTGCCTCGAGCTGTAAGGGTCTCCCGAATTAAGTTCTGACGCTTTCTACATCTGATTACGAGGTCACCGCCTGGAATCCGATCAATCTAAAGCACCGTCTGGTCAGTTCAGTCGAGTGCGTTTTATTTCGTGGTCCGACCTCTTCCGCTGGCGAGCCGAGAACGTCCGAAGCGAGGATTGCTGCTTGGACACTGCTGCCTGGACACCGCGGGGCCCGGAAGGACGCTACCTGTTCCTGCTTTCACGGTATGGGGGACAGGCACAACCACCTGACCGGCCCGGAAGCGAAGGAGGGCGGCCACGAGCTCGAGCAGACCATTCCCTTCGTAGTCCTGTAGGGAATGAGGCAGCGCGGTGGTCGGTGCCTCGCATAGTGCGGACGGCGACGACTCTCAGCGCATAGCGGCGACCCTCGCGCCTCACAACTAACGACTCCCTTGGAACAGAACAAGACCCCACACGAGCACAAGCAAATCCACAAGAAGACGAAAGGAAGAAGGAATCACTGACAATGTACACACGACGTCTCTCCACGAACTCCTACGGGGAATATAACCCAAGTCGCTCCGTTCTCGAGGAGGAGCTCGAGGAGGAGCTGGGGATGGCGGTCCTCTCTCAAGCGCAGAGGGAGAGGAAGCACAGCATCATCAGCAATGCCTTCAGTGGCCGTCTGGCACGTGACCTGAGTCTGCAGACCTTGGTGAGAGAGGAAAGCCTTAAACTTAGAGACGGAGGTCGGGAGGGGATGTAGGTATGGATACGAAGGAGGACGAAGCGAGATATTGAATTAGTCTTGTTCGACGTGTCACACAAAAATGAAAATAATGATAAAATAAAAGAATAGTGAAAGATTAATGTGGTTTTAAATTACACTAATGGATTCAAGGTCAAAGAAAGTTAGGGTTGAATTGAC